CAATCGCTCATTGCATATATCCTATGGCACATATGGAAATCCAGGAACAAATGGATTTTTCATCACAAAATCCCAACATGGAGAAGAGTGCTAAATAAAACAGTGGAAAATAGTGGGGAATATCTGAGATCCATGAGTACTTAGGTTCAAGCCTATAGGCAAAACACAAATACTCTAACCTGGAAAACACCACCAGCAGGACGGGTGAAAATAAATTGTGATTGTGCTTTTCTGACAAAGATAAATAGGGGAGCCATTGGAGTGGTAGCGAGAGATCACCGGGGAAAAGTGGTGACTGGAGAATCGAACACTCTAAAAGCGGCATCCCTTTTGGATTACCAAGGTTCATGCATTGAGAAGAGGATGTAGATTGGCTTTGGAGGAGGTTTTCCACAGTTAATGATATAATCTGACTCTGAGGTTTTGATAGATGCTTTGAACAAAAGCAAATCAACTTTAGTAAGAGAGTTTAAACCAATCCGAAGGTCATCTGGATCTATGCAGATCAGATTCCCAATTTTCGCTTCCAAGTAACCAAGACATCTGGAACTCACTTGGCAGATCTAATTGCCAAACAAGCAAGCAAAAGTTGGATTTTGACTTTCGTGGATAATAGATCCGTCGAGAACACGCAACCTTTTGCCCTTCTCGGGCTTTTGTCTTTTCTTTTCTTTACAGTTGTACTGCACTTCTTTTAATATCAGATTTATAACCCAAAAATAAAAAATAAATTCATAAACTTATTTAAGTCGTAAAATTATTTTTTACTTATTTAAGGCCCGTTTGATAATCTTTTCGTTTTTTACTTTTCAAAAACGAAAAACGAAAACCAAAAATGTCTTTTTTTGGTTTTTGAAATCGCCTATTGTTTACAAAACAGTGGCAGAAAAAAAAAGTAAAATCGATTATCAAACGAGTTTTTTTTTCTTATTTCTCTAAAAATCAAAATAAAAATGAAAACGTTACCAAACGGGACCTTAAAGTATTTTAAGCACGTCGGTTTGGTTATTGTATTTTAAAAGAATACATTGTATTAAGAAATACAAGCTAATTCCGTATAAGTCGATAAAATATAAAAATAAATATGAGATAAAAATATTACACATTATAATCACGTGTTTAGTAAATCACTGAATTAAGAGTGGGATAAAAAAAGTACTAATTATATATTGACAAAAAAAATTATCAATTTTGTCTGGTTATTATTTTTTTTGATCATTTGGTGGGTAAAGTAATAAATTTATAAATTAATATGCTTGAATTTGAATATAATACCACCTGAAGGTATTCTAATCGGCTCAATAATACGTATAGAGTGTATTATTTTGATAAACATTTGAAATAAGACTATATATAATACAAAGTATCTTTTACAACCAAATACAATATAAGATTAGATTAGAAAGTTTTAATCAGTCAAAATCTATAATTCACCCTTTAATATTAATATTGTAACTAAATGATCCCTATCTTCTTAAATGAAAGAACTCTTAATAAGTCATAAAATTTACAAGGACTTTTCTTTTTTAAATCCTCCGTCACCTAAAAATGTTTCCCCACTACTTAAGCTCACACTTCATAGAGAGAAGGAAAAAATTTCAAATGAATTTAGGGTTTAAAATGGGTGGAGTTTCGTGAAAGTCTATCATCTCAAAATTGGTTATATACATATTTGACTTGGTTATATACATACACTACTTATTTATAATCATATATAATTAGGTTATATAATATTGGATTTGTGTCATTTATAAGACGTGTATAATTAAATTTGTAGCTTATATAATTATTTAAATTCTTTTAGGAGAAAATGCATACCCAAAATATGTTATTTAAATTTCATATCAAAATGATAGGACTTTGTAAAAAAATAGTCAATCTATATTGAATGATTACCTAGGACTTCCAAAAATCTCCTCCTTTTGTTCCTGCTCGAAATAATAGTGTTAGATAAAATAATACTTTTTAAATTTGTTTATCAAATGTTGTATTCCAAATGATGTATCAAAATTACACACAATGAATATTTGGTAGAAGTTAGTAGGCCTCACTGATCCAACCATTGATTTGAGATACAAAATTTGTTAAATGATTTGATAAGTATAACATTATTTAATATTGTTAAAAGTAGTCTATACCTCTTACAAAAGTGTTAAAGTGATGAGTCAAGAGCGAGAGCAATCCTAAATACAAGTAAATATTATGTAACTATGATATTAGGTAATTGTTAATTTGATATCACTAATTAATAATAAACTATCATATAAATCAACCAATTCTATATTTCAATAACTACCACATTTAATAACTAGCACATGAGATTAAGTGGGGGGTGGGATTCACACTTATTTAATAGGTTATAATTAACCGGTGATATTACGTGACAATGACAACGTCGAATTATAATTGTATTGAATATTTACTTCAAAAATTCAAGCAAAATACTTGGGATAAATTATAATGACAACAAAATACTTGGGATAATTATACATGAATATATATATATATATATATATATATATATATGTTTCACAAAAAAGGCATGGGGGCAAAGGAGATCGCTCAGAGACACCTTGATCGGGTCTCACTAGTGGGATCATGAGGTCTCTGATCCCATCCATTACTCCTCTTGGGAACGAACCTAGCTAGGTTAATATAGTGGTCAATCACCGAGCCACAATGTTTACTCTAAAACTCGAACCTCTAATCTTAAAGTGAAAAATTCTACCAGTACCCCACTGAACCACCTCACTCGGTGGTTTTATACATGATATTTGTTTAGTTCTTGAACTATCAATACTTAATCTTTAAATTGTATTTCAACTAAGTTTGTCTGTCCAAATTCGTCATCAATTGTAACATAAAAAGCTTAATGTAAGAATTACATAATACTAGGGTATAATCCATGTATGAAAATACGGTGTAATGTGAATGATTTTGAGAGAGATGTTGATGGCTGTTTAATGAGTCTTTTTAAGATTTTCAGATAAACATATTAAAATCTGTCTTATTTTATATTACAGATATGTTATTAACCCAAAAAAAAAATGTTTTATAGTCATAGGAATAATTTTGATGAAAAAAAACACACACACATATATTTATTTAATATTACATCTAGTAATTTGAACTCCCAACTCATGAAAGCAAAGATTGATTCAATGTTATTAGATACATATATACAATATTATTAGAGTTAGATTATTCATAATTAACAGCCTCCTAGGCTTTGTATACGTGATGCTCACGTAATGGTTTTCCTTTAGAGCTGGTGACCGCATTGGACAAAAAGATTGAGTCGAAACATTTCTAAAAATCTAAAGGAACTAAATAGAAATCAAATATACAATTTAAAGGCATAAAATATACATAAAAAATGGAGAATTACACTAAGATCCTCTGAAATTTGTCATTTCATTTAATCATTCAGATCCATTGAAATTTATATGCACATAACATTTAGACCTCTGTTGTTAATGTTCTTTAGTATATGTTTTAGTAAATTATATTTAGACCCTTGAGAATTTGTAGAAGTATAATATTTAGACTTTTGAAGTTTAAAATATTATACTTAAACAAAAAATACTTCAATCTAAAATAGAATATCAAATATTTTAAATTTTACAACCAAAATTTATATTCTCTTATATTATTTATTAAAATAAAATTAAAAACAAAAATCTATTTTTTTCTTAAAAAATTATAATTAGTATACAATTATATTATTTATTGGAATTTAGTTTAATCATTTAAACTACCAAATTACCCCAATTAAAAGCTAGAATATATTGTGTCCATTATTGTTTGACTCCTTATTTGATTTTTTTGTTTTATTCAAATAGATAGTATAATTGCATAATAATTATTATTTTTTAAGAAAAAATAAGATTTTTATTTTTTATTTTATTTCAATAAATGATATAATAGAACATGAATTTTGGTGGTAAAATTCATATTTTATTATGAATGACTTAGACCTCTTGTTTAATTTTTTTAATTTTATTCCAATAGATAGTATAATTATATATTAATTACAATTTTTTAAGAAAAAAAGTTTTTTATTTTTGATTTTATTTCAATAACTGATACAATAGAACATGAATTTTAATTATAAATTTTAAAATATTTGATATTCTATCCTTAATTAGAGTATTTTTAGTTTAAATATAATATTTTAAACTTGGGGAGTTTAAGTGTTAAATGTGTATAAATCTCAGGAGGTCTAGATATAATTTATTAACAGATATACTAATGAATATTTGATGACATGAGTCTAAATATTACGCGCATATAAATTTCAAAAATTTATGTATAATATTTTAAATATTAAGAAATATCAGTAATTAAGTAACAAATTTTAAAAGTGGCAATATGATTATCCCAAAAAAAAAAGGTACACAAAAGCTAGATACAAGACTTCTTAAGAGTTAAGACAAGTCTTGCTTGCCATGCGCTAAAAGAATTTACACTAACATCACACTTTACTTTTTAGAGAGAGGAACATGCAGAGAGTGCTTGAGAAAGTTAGAGCTGGCAGTGATAGATGGAGAAGACAGTGACGGTGTTGATCTTGAACTCTTCAGTGATCGCAGATCAATGTTTTTTATCCAAGTATGGTCTCTCCCATCTCTGTTTTAATGTGGCCAAAATATAATAATTTTCTGTGAATCCAAAAGATTGGTTCTCTGATCAATCTTTCATTGGATCCAACAAGACCTGGTGAATCCTCAGTCCTCTTACATCTCTTTATTCCAAGTACTATCCACATCTGATTTCCCATCAATCACATATTGCTAGTTTGATCTACTCTGTCTAAATCATTGCTGTAGCTACATCCTACATACCCAGTGAAAACTTTTCTTTTTTTTTTTTCTTTTTTGAATTCTGAGTGTTAATTTGGTTGTTATTTAGAATAGATTACACCAAAATGACGGTATTTTTGAAAATTTTGTACGGTTATTGTGGCTGGAAAATTTTGAACGGTATTTGGTGCTGGATAGATGGACAAGGAAAAGATGATCTTAACTGTGATAATGAAAGTTTGCCCAGAAACAAAAGTAGAAATCGAAACCCTTCTGATTATTATGCTGACCAAAAAGGTCCCAGAATTTTTCTCCAATTTCCTCTAAACCATCTCCATCTCCATCTTCCTCTAAACCTCCATCTAAGCTAACTCAATCACCATCGTCCTTATCTTCACCTTCATCTTCTTTTCAGACTTCATCTTTCCCGAAACCACCTCCACTTTCCAATAAGCCTACTGTTTCTCTTGCTTCATCTAATCCGAAAAATGACCAGACACACACCAAGTACATTCAGAAGGGTTCATCACCTACACATGTGATTCCTGAGAATATCAAAGAATTGATTAAGGAAGACATTGTTCCTGGAGTGTCAAGAAGCCCTTGTCTCCGTCGACCTACAAGGATTACTATCATGCTCTGCTTTATGCCGAGGATTACTACCTTGAGGTACATAGAAAAAGTATTTTTATTTCTCCTAATATTTTGTAACTCGATCTATTATCAAATGTGACATGGAATGAATGGAATATGCTCCTTTATTAGACATTCTAGATGTTGAATATGAATTTTTTATACCACAATAAGACAAGTCAACCATAGGGAACATATGATTAGAGACAATCTTCACTAAGAAGCACAAATACACTAACGGAATACATATATGACCTGACACAGATATGCCGACATAAAATTTATGAAAAAAGTAAGATGTGTATATGGACAAATTGGGAGACTCGCTAAATAATATATATTCATTCAATTACATATGATCATATAATAATTTTAGAGTTCTTATTTTTGTCACCGGTTCACCAGTTGGGTAAAAACAGTTTTTGTAAGTCAAAATTTGATTTTTTTTTTTTTTTTGCCGTCTTTGTGCCTAAATTAAAGTAAGATTCACTCATCATTTTAAGTAAAATTTTGTAAGTTCGTGTTCTACTCCTTGCAGAGAATAATAGTTGAGAAAATATGATCCAAAGCAACCTATTTGGAATGTGAAAATAGAGGTCGAGGCATTTGAGATTTAACGTCAATTCCACATTGGTTAGTTAAGTAATGTTGAATTGAGCATATACACTTCAAGTTTGCTCTAAGGGTTGGGGCCCAAGGAGCACCCCACTTTTGTGGATGATAGAGGATATAGACGGACGTAGATTTGACCACACACGCGCGTGTACCCCCACCCCACCTTCCCTTAGTCGGACCGGACTTGGGTACTTGTGTGGTTCAGACTCAATATTATTTTTTTGGATAAAATTTGTTTGTTAAATGGGTTATTAATTTCTTATCGATTTTGATTTTTTGTCCGTTAGAATTCAAAATCCGCGCTGGTTCGGATTTTAATTTCTCACTAGTTTTGATTTTGTATTATTTCATGGTTGTTTATCAATGGGCATCTTTGGTTCCTTTCTTGGTTGCATCTTTTTGTTCCGGAAGGGAGACCCCCATGTGGATCTTCCCAAATGATTATACACATGGAGTTCAAGACATTATACCTAGAGGGGGGATGCATAAGTTTTTCAATTTAACACTCAATTAATTACCAATTAAAATTTAACCCATTACAATTACCTCTTCCCACAAAGATTAAGAAATTAGTCTGAGAACCCCTTTAGTCCCAATAAGCACTAATGACCATGACAATTGCACCTAATTACTGTCATTTAGCAACAAAGCTTTTTAGTTCTCATTGTGCGGTTCTTTTTGTTTGTGTGCGTTCACCTAATCACTCTAGAGTTAGTACATTGGGCTGGCTTGAATTATTAATGTTTAGACCAATCCGTCCTCTACTCCTATTCAATATTTGTGTTTAATGCGATGACTATTTCAACCTTAAACCCCATGATTAGAAACTGAATACTGATCAACAGTTTTACTTATTTGTTTCTACACCTCCTCTTTTCTATTTAATATTCTTGGGCTACTAGGAAGATGAGTACGATGAAATGATATGAAAAATTGGTAGAAATCTTGGGGAAATCAATTTACTTTATTGCATTTGCATGCATTTGAAATGTACCTCTTTCAATTGCCACAAAAAAAAAAAAAGGGGTGGGGGGGGCAAGAAAAACCTCAATGAATGGACTTCCACATACCCCTTTATGTGTTCACGAGAAGCCTGAAGACGCAGATTCCAGAATCTGATATGTTTCGAGCCAATGCTGCGTTCCGAGAGTTGGATGGCGTACCTTTTGACATCCTCCCCTCTTGCCTTTATGAGGGGGAGTGCTTTTCTTGTCCTCCACGTGTGGAAATCAGTAAATATAAGGTGATACTATCCACTTTCATGAGCAGCTTTCGATTGCATGATGTAGGGATCGTAGCTGGACATTTTAGCCATATCTTTCTGGTGGATGCCTCGTCTGCTACTGAACCCGAGACTCTGGTAACTCTAGCTAACCTGGCAAATGAGAATACAGTTGTTGTGGTTATTGGTGCGCCGAGGAATCATTCAGGTTGGGTTCGTTCCACCATTGCGAGGTACAATGGACTGTTATGTTCATTCTTTGAGAGACTCCGCCAGAGCGAGTTGTACAACGGTCTTGATCCAAAGTTTGTGACACAACTGCAAGAGAGAGGGGAACCACATCGCTCTTTCTCATTTCTTTGAAACCCAAGCTCTACTCTTTACTGGATGAAGATTGCGTCTGTATATTCACTCGACTGATTTTGCTTTCATTCATGAAAAAGTGCGAAACAAACTGTCATAACTTCATCTACAATGGAAGCTGAATTTGTGGCATGTTTTGAGGCTACAGTTCATGGACTGTGGTTGCGGAATTTTATCTTAAAACTTGGAATTGTCGACACTATTGCCAAGCCGTTGAGAATTTATTGTGATAACTCTGTAATAGTGTTTTTCTCCAAGAATGACAAGTATTCTACAGATGCCAAACACATGAAATTGAAATACTTTGCCGGCAAGAAGGAAGTTCAAAAGAAACGAGTGTCTATAGAGCACATTAGCACAAAGCTCATGATTGCATATCTATTAACAAAAGGGTTATCACCAAAGACATTTAAGGAACATGTTAACAGAATGAGTTTTGAATATAACCTATGATGTTTACTTCATGTTGGATTATTTGTTATATTTATTTACTACACTTTTAAATTTAGATGTGTTTTATGATATTTCTTATTTCCATTATGTACGTACTTATGTTAGAATTGGATGAATGATAATAGGAATAACTTTTGGCATAAGACATTATTGTTGGACCTCTTTTATATACACTTCTCATTTATAGATTATGTTAGACAAGTTACTAGTATTGTGGTACATGGAAGAGACTATGTCGTGTTAATAATGTGTGACCGCCATGACTCACATTAGTGATTTGTTTAATTTGTGGTATTATGATGACCAAATTAAAGAGTGATAGATTGGATTTAATGAGCGTGTATGTTAACCTTATTAGACCCAACTGTAAGATAATCACATGAGCCAAGTGGGAGAATGTAATATTTAAATGTGGCCCACATGATTTTTGACACATGTGATATTTACTAATAACTAATTAATAGGTAAATTAGTTGAGTCAAGATAATGTTAAGGTTCCCAATCCAAGCTAACCAAATAACTGATGTTTTTTAATTGGTCAATGAGAAGTAGTAGTTTCCTGATATCCTACTTTGATGGGAAGTGGAGTTTATGTTATTCTAGGAAAACCGGTCATTTCTCTATTTATAAATGTGCACATGTCTCATTGATTTGTGTATCTTACGTTAAATGTTAGGAGGGAGAAACTGTATTTTCAAGTTATTCTAAAATACTATTCTTTTTGTTCAAGAAACTGAAAGGTTCACATCAATGGCTTTAGGTATGTAAATTATGATGTTTTAATTCCGTAATATGAGTGTGTGAAAATCATGATTGTTCTAAATCTTGGAATTAAGATTTGATTGATTCTTTTGATCATATAAAATTTACATGTGGTATTAAAGCCTGAGTTAAAAACTCTCGTAATTTTTCGTTAAAAGTATAAGGTTAATGCCTGTTTAATCAAGATGGTTGTCAATTAAAAAAAACAAAAAAATTGAAACGTTTTGTCGTTGCGGGACGAAGCATTCCTTCTGCCAGTTATATTTATTGCGATTTAATCCACTAATTAATTTCTGTAAGAGATACGTCCATTATGTTGGGCCGAATTTGAAAGTCCATTGATATGTACTTACGTCACTCATATACAGTTCCATGGAAGCTTTGATTGTTTCTATTTTTTTGTCACTTGAATAAGAAAAGCACTTTTATTTTGGTCAAACCCCGTGAAGAAACCAGTGTTTTAAAATCTGGTCCGGTCCGGTGGGTTGACCCGGTGAACCGGTCCCCTAATCGGGTCGATGTTGTAATTGGATCGTTTGAGCAAAGAATTCAGAATAAAACCGATGAACTGGTCATGAAAATTGGACCGGATTTACAAAATCGGTCGGTTTTGTTCCTTTAGTATAAATATGTCTTTTTTTATATTTTTCTGTCTTTTTCTTTTCCTCTTCTGTTTTGCCCTAAATCCTAAATCATTCGTTCAGTGTTTGTTAATTCAAAAATTAAGTGAATGCAATTAAGTGATTCAGACTTGATAACTTTGTTTGATTTAATATATATTAAACATGTTATTTTTATAACTATTTTAATTTTTTAGTCTATTTATCATGATTAATAATTATTTTTTATTTTTTTATTATATCACTGGTTCGACCAGTAATCCAGTGATTGAACCAGAAATTCATTGAGCCGGTCCCTTCTCCATGTTGATGTCCGGGCCGAGGTTTAAAACTATAATTAAACCCAACACAAAAGGTGGAATTCTCATTTTGGTAGGAATTGTTTGTTTTGGCATTATCTGCCCTTACTGTTTGATCATTAAATGTTTGTTCAGAGAGTTACATATATAATTTGGGAGGTAGCTAGAATACCGAAAAGTGAAATTCGGTAAAATACCAAAAATTGAAAAAGAATATAAGCTTGATACGTGTACTTACTTATATGTATCAAAACTTATAATCGGTTTAACAGGTATATATTTTAAAAATAAATATAACTGTTATACACTTAAAAAAAAGATATAATAGAAATTAAAATTAGTTTTAAAAATGATAATTATTTATCTTATTTAAACCTAAATTAACATATAATAAAAAATTTACAATATCTAAGTTTACAATATCTAGCTTAATGCCAATTTTTTTTTTTAAAAAAAATTGATTTGATAGTTTTATATGTTAATTTGATTAATTGATGGTTTAATTGGACGAATTGGATTAATTGACGATTATTTCAGATCTTAATTTGTTGAATTAAGGGCTAATTAGATGGACATGAATGTTAATCTATTTTTTGAAATTTTTTTAAATTTTAAATTTTAAATTTTTTAAATTTTCAATTTTTAAAATTTTAAAATTTTCAATTTTTTAATATAAATCAAATGAAATTGATCCGTGATCTCTACTTGATCCCGTGATCGATACTTCAATTGACCCTTGATCGCTACCGTGATCGAACCTGATTGCTCCTGATTCCTCTTTATCACTGTTGATCATCTTGATTGCTGTTGATCCCTCGTGATTGCTCTTGATCCCTGTTCTTGATCGATCATCATATTAACCAAAAAAATGATAATTTAACCTCAAAAAACTCTAATCTTAACCAATGTTAATCAAAAGTTTTGTAATATTAACCAAAAAATTACATTTTTGGATTAAGAAATGTAATCTAACAAAAAAAGTGCTCTTAACCAATCCCAATAAAGTTGTAATTTGCTAATTTAAATCGAAAAAATTATCCTCTTAACCAAAAAATGGTTTTAGTGTAATCTTAACTACAAAAATGCTAATATTAATCAAAAAAATTGTAACCTTAACGTAAAAAAAGTGTAATGTTAACCCAAAAATTAGAAATCTTAATCATTAATCATTAATCATACCTTAACAAAAATCTAATTGTAATTTCAACCATACCTTAACAAAAAATTCTAATCTTAACCAAAAAATGGTAATGTTAGGTAATGTTAACCAAAAAAATGTAATGTTAACAAAAAAAGATGTACACTTAACAAAAGAGTGGTAATATTAACATACTATGTTAACCAAAAAAAAAATGGTAATATTAACAAAAAAAAAGTAGCAATATTAACACGTAATAATTTTAACTTAAACAATGGTAATTTTAACCCAAAAATGGTCATTTGAAACAACAACCGTAATTTTAATCAAAAAAATAGTAATATTATCCTAATATTTTTAACCAAAATAGTGTAATATTTACCAAAAAAGTGATACTCTTAGTACTCATAACCAAAGCAGCGGTAATACTAACAAAAAAAGTGCTACTCATAAACAAAACAGTGATCCTCTTAACAAAAATAGTGGTCATATTAATCAAAATAGTGGTACTCTTAACCAAAATAGTGATACTCTTAACCAAAAAAGTGGTACTCTTAACCAAAAAGTGGTACTCTTTACCAAAAAAATGGTACTTTTAACCAAAAAAGTGGTACTCTTAACAAAAAAAGTGGTACCCTTAATCAAAAAAGTGGTACCCTTAACCAAAACAGTAGTACTCTTAACCAAAAAAGTGGTACTCTTAACTAAAACAGTAGTACTTTTAATCAAAACAATGTTACTCTTAACCAAAAAGTGGTACTCTTAACCAAAAAAGTGATACTCGTAACCAAAAAAGTGGCACTCTTAACCAAAAAATGGTACATTTAACCAAAACAGTGATACTATTAACCAAAAAAGTGATAACCTTAATCAAAACAGTGATACCCTTATTCAAAACAATGATACTCTTAACTAAAACAGTGATACTCTTAACCAAAAAAATGGTAATACTAACCGAAAAAGTGGTACTCTTAACAAAAAAAGTGGTACTCTTAACCAAAAAAATGATACCCTTAACCAAAACAGTGATATTCTTAACAAAAAAAGTGGTACCCTTAATCAAAATAGTGGTACTCTTAACCAAAATTGTGATACTCTTAACAAAAAAAGTGGTACTCTTAACCAAAAAGTGGTACTCTTAACAAAAAAAATGGTACCCTTAACAAAACAGTGGTACTCTTAACTAAAAAAGTGGTACCCTTAATCAAAACAGTGATACTCTTAACCAAAACAGTGATACAGTTCACCAAAAAAGTGGTATTTTTAACCAAAACAATGATACTTTTAATCAAAACAGTGGTACTCTTAACAAAAATTGTGATACTCTTTGATACTCGTAACTAAAAAAGTGATACTCTTAACCAAAAAAGTGGCACTTTTAACCAAAACAGTGATACTCTTAACCAAAAAAGTGGTACTATTAATCAAAACAGTGGTACTCTTAACCAAAACTGTGATACTCTTAACCAAAAAAATGGTACTCGTAACCAAAAAAGTGGTACTCTTAACCAAAAAAATGGTACCCTTAACCAAAACAGTGATACTCTTAACCAAAAAAGTGGTACACTTAATCAAAATAGTGGTACTCTTAACTAAAATAGTGATACTCTTAACCAAAAAAATGGTAATACTAACAAAAAAAGTGGTACTCTTAACAAAAAAGTTGTACTCTTAACCAAAAAAGTGGTACCCTTAACCAAAACAATGGTACTCTTAACAAAAGAAGTG